ATATATGTATATACCACGTAGGACACAGCTGGGAATCAAACCGACTCTTCTTTTCGTTGTGTAACGTCTCATAGAACAGTGTTAATACCAGAAATATAAAGGTTTAACATTCTCTGTCTGTTTAATTAAAAATATGTATTTACTCAAATATTCATGTCGGAGCGTTTTTTGGGGCCACAGCTTAAAGTTTTGGATCTAAATATGAAATAAAACTATTTATATGTAAAAAATCAAACATCATGATGGGATAATTTCTTATCCACTTATATTAACAGAGATTAGTTTATGTAATAATTCAGAATACAATGGAAGAATCTGATTGGATCTTTGTGGAGGAACCAGTGATGATGACTTCCTGTTGGACTAAGAACAGCCCCACTCTTCCTCTGATTGCTCAGTTCTTGTGGCCTTGGTTACTTGGGTTGGTTTAGGTTAGAGGAGTGAGATTAGGGTTAAGTAAGAATGTCAAGGTAAAACCAATCAGGTCTGAAGAGGTCTCAGGAGGATCAAAAACCGAACTAGACCAGCGTGAGTCATGATGCATCTCAGTCATTCCAAAGGAGGTTGGTTTTATAAATTTAAAAGTTTATAATTTCATTTGATGTCATTCAGTTTCTTTCTGTTTTGTGAAAGAAGTCTTTTGTTCAACCTGAGTCCTGGACTTGGATCCTCCACCCACTGATAAGAAGAGCCATAAACCTGATAAACGTCACCGTCAGCTGACTTTATGGTTTTGTTTTGTGTCGCTGAAGCTCAGAATTCAGACGGATCCAGATCAGCTCAGTCCTTCAGGATCACTCGGTGAAGACCAGGACCAGAGACAATTCCTAGCTTATTTTAGTTCTTCATCCAGGATCGAGACCAGTCTGGCAGGTTTCAGGAAGTCTATCTGGGTACAGGAAGTCCATCAAGTCCTCACAGTTCTGGCAGGTTTAAGAAAGCCCTGCAGGTCCATCAGTGTGGAAGTCTGGATTTCTGACCTGGTGGACGGAAGCTCAACAGAACCAGGATGAAGAGGGGGCCCCAGGCTGGTCTGACAGGTCTGACAGGTCTGCTGAATCCTGGACTGGAGGTGGAGATGACAGAAAGCATCAACACAATCCAGGTGAGTCTTCAGGTTTCTTTCTGTCTTCAGGTTCAGGTCTTGGAGTCGGTGGGAGGGGTCCTGGAAAGGGCGCCGCCTACCGACTCCATAGTTCTCCTGGGGGACTTCAACGCTCACGTGGGCGATGACGGAGAAACCTGGCGGGGGGTGATTGGGAGGAACGGCTTGCCCGATCTGAACCCGAATGGTGTTTCGTTATTGGACTTCTGTGCTTGCCACGGTTTGGCCATAACGAACACTATGTTCGAACATAAGGTGGCTCATAAGTGTACCTGGTACCAGAACACCTTAGGCCGGAGATCAATGATCGACTTTGTAATCGTATCATTTGATCTGCGGCCGTATGTCTTGGACACTCGGGTGAAGAGAGGAGCAGAGCTGTCAACTGATCACCACCTGGTGGTGAGTTGGATCAGATGGCAGGGGAACCGGTTGGAAAGACCCGGCAAACCCAAACGTGTAGTGAGGGTGAACTGGGAGCATCTGGCGGAGGACCCTGTCCGGGAGGTCTTTAACTCCCACCTCCGGAAGAACTTCTCACACATCCCGAGGGAGGTTGGGGACATGGAATCCGAGTGGACCATGTTCAAAGCCTCTATTGTGGACGCGGCCGCTAGGAGCTGTGGCCGGAAGGTCATCGGTGCCTGTCGTGGCGGCAACCCGAGAACCCGGTGGTGGACACCGGAGGTGAGGGAAGCCGTCAAGCTGAAGAAGGAGACCTTCAAGGCCTGGTTGGCCCAGGGGTCTCCTGAAGCAGCTGACAGGTACCGGCAGGCCAGAAGGGCTGCAGCTGCGGTGGTCGCGAATGCTAAAACTCGGGCATGGGAGGAGTTCGGGGAGGCCATGGAGAAGGACTTTCGGTTGGCCTCAAGGAGGTTCTGGCAAACCATCTGACGGCTCAGGAAGGGAAAGCAGGGCTTACCCCAGGCTATTCTCAGCAGGGGGGGGAACTGCTAACCCGGACGGAGGACATCGTCGAGCGGTGGAAAGAGCACTTTGAGGAACTCCTAAACCCGACCAACATGTCCTCTGCAGAGGAGGCAGCGCCTGAGGACCTAAAGGGAGGCTCACCCATATCCCTGGCAGGATGGACTCTGATGGACAGCTCTGTATAACAGCTCTGATTGGCCGGATGAGTCCAGTGGTAACAATGTCCCGCCTACTGACAGATAACAGGGCTGTGATTGAGGCGACTGTGGCTGAGTGGAGAGCAGGGCTGTCCTTCAATCAGAGGATTGGCGGTTCCCTGTTTGAATTTAATCCCCGGCTCCGGCTCCGCTAGTCGCATGTCGATGTGTCCTTGAGCAAGACACATAATCCCAAAATGTCTCCCGTAGCTGTGCCTACGGTTTCTGAATGTGATAGAATCTGAATTGTAAGTCGCTTTGGATAAAAGTGTCTGCTAAATGACTGTAATGTAATGTAATGTAATGTGATTGGTCCAGAGTCAGGATTAAAATGTTTAAGAATTTAAGGAAATAGAGCAGAATAGAATAGAGTTGTGATGAATGTAATTGTATGTTGTGTTCAGGCCCAGCTGGCGCTCAGTCAGTTCCATGTGACTGACAACATGACCAGACAGCAGTACTACTACCTGAAACTGCTGGAACCAGAACCACACCCACTTGAGACCAACCTGCAAGGTAACCCTGCTACTACTGCTGTTGTAGTACAACCACAGGTTTACTATAGTACTACTACCTGAAACCTGCTGGGACTGGAACCAGACTCACTTGAGACCCACCAGCAAGGTAACACTGCTATTGTACTAATGCTGTTGTACTACAACCACAGGTTTACTGCAGTACTACTGCCACTGAAACCTGCAGGGACTGAAACCAGTTTTCAAATTGGAAACCACCAAATTATAATGCTGCAATACTACTGCAATAATACTATAGTAGTGTTACAGACAATACTACTATAGTAGTGTTACAGACAATACTACTATCGTCGTGTGCCAGACAATACTACTATAGTAGTGTGCCAGACAATACTACTATAGTAGTGTTACAGACAATACTACTATAGTAGTGTGCCGGACAATACTACTATAGTAGTGTGCTGGACAATACTACTATAGTAGTGTGCCGGACAATACTACTATAGTAGTGTGCCGGACAATACTACTATAGTAGTGTGCCGGACAATACTACTATAGTAGTGTTGCAGACAAAAATGTTTTTTCGTGTTGTTCCTTACTTTTATGATGTTATCTATTTTGTTTTTATTGTAATTACTTCTATTGTTTCTGTTTTACCATATAAAGTGTCTTTGAGTACCTTTTAAAGCGCTATACAAATAAAATGTATTATTATTATTATTACTACTACTCATGATACCGTGCTGTCTCACACACTGACTTGTCTGTCTGTTGTGTTTTGTAGAATCAGTCGTCAGTGAGCCGACGTCTCCAGTGAGTTTCATCACTTATTATTATTATTATCACATTACTGCTTTTATTATCATTATTATTCTACTATATCCACTTCTAGTGCTATTACTAGCAGTCATAATGTTTCTATCAGTGAACAGTGTACAGTAAATAATTTACAGTAAATGGTAAATAGTGTACTGTATACAGTAAACAGTGTACTGTATACAGGAAACAGTAAACGGTGTACTGTATACAGTAAATAGTAAACAGTAAATTAGAGGGTACTCTAATACTCATTGGTTAAGCTACTGCGGCCCAATGGTTGTCTACCTGGTCTACAGTAACAGTTTACAGGGACAATGTCTTACCTATCTGTCTTGTTCCTCAGCTGGAGGTGGTGGTGCATCATGGGAAACTGGACCTCATCATGAATCCAGTCTTTCTCAAACTGATCCAGGTCAAATGGAAACTGTATGGGAGGTAAACTTCACTGTGATTGGTTTGATTTATTTCACGTGATTGCTCTCAGGTACAAGGTACTCTACCTGTCTTTCTTTCTGTACCTGTCTGTCTGTCCATCTGTCTCTACCTACCTGTCTCTCTGTACTGCTGCCAGGTTTGGGGCGTGGCTTCTTCTCATCCTCAACTTCCTGTTCAACGTCTTGTGGACAACCGTCGCCATTTCTATCTCTGTGTACCGAGACTCACGTCGCTACGTCCTCCCCCAGGTGACCTGTCTGTCTCCACCTGTCTGTCTCCCCACCTGTCTGTATCTTTACCCGTCTCTCTGTCTCAGGACTGGTGGCGTGTCCTCCTCGTTGTCCTGGCCCTCCTGTTGACCCTGGAGGAGGTGCTGAGGGAAATACAGGACATCCTGCGTTCAAGGAGGAAGCTCCTCCTCTGGCGACGGTGGGCGGAGCTTCGTCTCCAAGACGACCTGAGCTGCTCTCATCCCATGTGGCCTCAGGTACAAAAGACAGGTTTAAAAGGACAGTTCAGCATTTAGTTTGGTCCAACATCTGGTATAATAATTGTGTCTGTGTGTGTGTGTGTGTGTGTGTGTGTGTGTGTGTGTGTGTGTGTGTGTGTGTGTGCAGGAGAGGGTTGACCTTATGGATCAGAACAAACAGATTCACAGGATAAGGGGAAGTTACAGCCAGGACCTGTGGTAACACACACACACACATTATGTGAGTGCTTAATGACAGTTTAATCACAGAAATATGAAATCATGAGAAGAGTGAGATTATGAATCTTTCTCTCAGGAACGTGTTTGATTGGCTCGTCTACTCTCTTCTGACGGCGTCCTTCCTCGTCCACATGGCCGACGTGATTCGTCCGTCCATCCGTCTTCGCACCACCAGTCTGCGTCTGTTCTCCGTCATTGTCGTCTTCCTCTGGCTGAGACTGATGAAGCACGTCAGAGCCTTCAGGTCCTCACCCTCTCTCCTTCTCACTCTCTCCCTCTCTCCCTCTCATACTCTCACCCTCTCTTACTCTCACCCTCTCATCCCCTCGTGTGTGTGTGCGCGCGCAGGTTGATGGGTCCGTTCATTGTCATGTTGGGAAATATCATCGGGGACGTGATGCGTTTCCTGTTCCTCTACGTTGAGATCTTTATTCCTTACGCCTGCAGCTTCTGGATCATATTTGGAGGTTTGTGTGTTCAAAGTATTTACATTTTTACTTATACATTAACACTATTACTAACATAAACATGAATAACACTATTACTAACATAAACATGAATAACACTATTACTAACATGAATAACACTATTACTAACATATTAACATGAATAACACTATTACTAACATATTAACATGAATAACACTATTACTAACATATTAACATGAACACTATTACTAACATATTAACATGAACACTATTACTAACATATTAACATGAATAACACTATTACTAATGCAGTAGAAGAAAACCAGAAACCATTTTTATTGTCATATACACATACACAAAATTTGTTTCTGCATTTGACCCATCCCTGTATATAGGGAGCAGTGGGCTGCCAATGACAGGCGTCTATTATCTAGGCGGATAGACAGGGAAATTAGGGAGTCTAAGCTGTCTGTCTCCTCTCTTGTCGCTAGCTCATCCCTGATATTCTCAGCTAACCCGTAGATAAAAACACTCTGCAAGGAAATCTCCTCCCACCCACTCTCTGTAGCTAGGATTCTAAAATCCACCGCATATTCTGCGACTGTTCCGGCGCCCTGACGAAGGGAGAGGAGTCTGCTGGCTGCTGCTCTACCCTGAACAGGATGGTCAAAAACCTCTCTCATTTCTGCTACAAATACAGTGTATAAATTACAGATTGGGGACTCCCTCTCCCATAACGCGGTGGCCCACTGGGCAGCTTTGCCCGTAAGTAAACTGGTGATAAAGGCAATACGTGACCTATCAGGGGCGTAGGTGGCTGGCTGCTGCTGGAATACAAGGGAACATTGCAGGAGGAACCGCCCACAGGCTCCCAGATCTCCGGCGTAGCGCTCCGGCCTCGGAATGAACGGCTCACGGGCACGCGGAGCTGGAAAGGGGGGAGCCGAGGGGGCTGGGGGTGGCACAGGTGGATCTGCCGTGGGAGCAGCGGAAACGCCGGGGGCAGAGAGGTGAGCCGTAACCTGATCCATGTGGCCGCTGAGTTGAGACACGCTGGTGGAAAGGGCTCGTAGAGTCTCCCCTACTTCCCGGAGAGCTGTCTCATGCTGGCCGATCAGGGTGCCCTGGGAGGCCAGTGCTTGGTGGAGGAAGTTCGGGTCCGCTGATTGGGTCGGTTTATCCTGGACCCAAACGCAGACACCGGGACAGCAGAGTAGGTGAAAAAAAAAGGGTTTTATTTTGCGTGTCTGTGGAGCCGGAGGAGCATGCAGGTGAAGCATGCAGGTGGAGCAGCGAGGCGGTGTGTGCGGCGGGGTCTGGGCGGCGACGTGGCACGGGACTCGCTGAGGCAGAGGGAAAACACAAGTTAGTTAAAATGTCAAAAAAGGCTAACTTTCCCTAAGAGACGATTTAACTCAAAAGGGGCCAAGGTGTAGCTACCCCTGAGTTGAAGGAACAATCTGGCGATGAGACTGCAAGAAGCCGGGGTATTTAAGCTGAAGGTGATGATGGTGTAATTGTTGTCAGGTGAGGAGATGAGCCCAGGTGCCGGATGATTGCAGCCGCACTCCAGCCACACACACACACACACACACACACAGACAGACAACAGAGGGGAGACAAGCTGAGGTCACAGCGGAGCCGTGACAGTTTCCATAACATTACCAAAAACGTTTATTGTATTGCTAATCTACCCCTGTTTGGGGGAAGAATTTTTGATATAGCACACCAGTTGAAATTATATTAAGTCTTAAAGTTAAGCTTAATTGTGGGCGCGGCCACTTTGAGTGACAGTTGGGTGCTGTCTCAGGTCGCTAGCTGTTAGCTGTCTGCACTGTTGCATCACCCGGGCTTCACAAAGGCCATAAAAAGTATTTTTCCATTCCAACAAATTTGACGGCAGTGGACTTTGGAGTCTTTGTGCTTTCTCTCATCACAGGTTTCCATGGATCGTGGTTATATCTGGTCCCTGGTCCTTCCTCCTGCCTTGGTCCGGCCAGACACCCACTGCTACTATCATTATTATTAGTAGTCAGAATTTTTCCATCATTATTCTGCTTACTACTCTCATTACATGAATCGTTTATGTCATATGCATTGAATGTGTTGTAACTCTGTTATGTTATTCATTCTGTACACATGACATCTATCACACCTCTGTCCATCCTGATAGAGGATCCTCCTCTGGAGAGACAGCGAGATCCTTCTTGTGGCACGCTGTGGCACTCTGTGGCACTCAGCGGCAGTCTGTGGCACT